TAAAAGATACATCAGACATCTCAAAATTAGGCAATTACATTTGATATTGTGGCTGTCTCCCTACGTAGCTGCCCTGCTATTTGGGAGGAATTGACCTCACCCCAGCCTCCAGGCTAGACTCTGAGTGTTCTAAGTTAAGCAGGGTAATACATCCCTTTTTCACAGTGATGGGTTCAAGCCATCCAGACCTATGGTATCAGCACATGGCATTCTATGACTTCATGGAAAGCTTAAGATAGTTGCTGGGAAATTTGGGAAATAGACATTGTCCAGTATTATGGTATAATTTGGAAATGTGAAACCTGGAACTTCTGCAGCCTCTTTGTAAGCATGAGAGAAGCCAGTTGAAGACAAAGCTGTCATACACGTAAAGAACTTGCAGAGAAGCCAAGCCCACCTGACCAAGTCTTACCTGAAGCCCAACCTACTGCTGGACTCTTGTGTTTCATAAGCCCATGTTATTGATGTCTTTAATATTTAAGCCAATTTGATTGTTGTTATTTCCAAACAATTGATAAAAAGTACAAGTCCCAATCAATTACATGTAACAAAACACATATACATATAATTGTACATGCAACTTACTGCACAAATTAGCAATATATAATTTCTGAAGTTACAGTAACCTCTAAATACTCACTAAAATTAACTTTATAATGCTATACATGAACCAAACAAACAAACTCATTTCCATCGAGTTGATTCCAACTCATAGTGACCCTATAGGACTGACCAGAACTGCCTCATAGGGTTTCCACGGACAGCCTGGTGGATTTGAACTGCCAACCTTTTGGCTAGCAGCCATAGCTCTTAACCAGTATGCCACCAGACAATACTATAAAAAAACTGCAATAAAAAACAATCACAACAGAATGTGAACTATGAAGTAGACATCAACGCCTTCACAGGCACCACTGCTGGATGGCATATTTGAGTTCTAATGAGTCCATCACTACTCAAAGAGTTTGTGGGATTCCTATTTTGAAAGTTCCTGGTGGCAAAGTAGTCCAATTATTTTACCATCTTGAATCTTGAATATACCATGGACTGCCAGAAGAACAAACAGCCAGAATGCTCCTTAGAAGCAAGGATGGCGACACTATATCTCACATACTTCAGATATGTTATCAGAAGGGATCAGTCCCTGGAGAAGGACATTATGCTTGGTAAAGTAGAGGGTCAACAAAAAAGAGGAAGACCCTCAACAAGATGGACTGACAAAACAGCTGCAACAATGGGCTCAAACACAGCAACGACTGTGAGGATGGTGCAGGACCGGGCCGTGTTTCTGTTGTACACTGGGTTGCTATGAGTTGGAATCGACTCAATGGCACCTAACAACAACAAACTGTGAGAAAATAAATTTCTGTTATAGCCATCCATTTGTGGTATTTTTGTTATAGCAGCACTAGATAACTAAAACGCTAGCTAAGCCTATTAAAAGGACCATTGTCTCTCAACACAGCAACAAAGTCTACTGAGTAATTCATACAAAGCAAAAAAGACCAAATGCAAAATACAGGCCTCTCTTCTGGGTCTGGTTCCCACTTAAATACATGCATTGCACATCCACGTGAGGTACGGGTGAGAGGAAGGTGAAATGAGCTTTTAATTAAACATTGGCATGGCTGCTCTTTTTCTAACTTTGTTTCCATCGCATCCATCCCTCCCTGGTTTCATTTATTTTGTTTGCTTTATTAAAGCCTAAATAGTATATCAAAAGGGTGCCTCAAAACTATTCTTAGGAACAAAAATGCAAACACCAGCAAAATTTACCATTTTGTCAGCAGTCCTTGGTATCATACCCCTAAAGAGGATGGGAGTTGGTAATTAGACAAACATTCCATGATCTCAACCGCAAGCACAACTGGGTTTCTGATCACTGAGGAGCAGCTGAGTGCTGGCTTGCTTGGAGAGAAAAGTGGGAATAAAACCAGGACTTCCAACGAGTTCCTTCCAGTTTGAACCCCTGCTGAGAATTTGCATTTCCACCCCAGATATACTCAATCACAATCTACAGTTTAACAAGATCCCCAGGTGATTCTTATGTATAATAAATTTGAGAACCTCTGCTCTACTAGTGGTTCTCAGAATTGGTCCCTAACCAGCTGTATCAGCATCGCCTGGGACTTGTTAGAAATGCAAATTCTCAGCAGGGGTTTGAACGGGAACACACTGGTTCGAAGCCCTGAATAAAACACACAGGCCCTTGGGTTTCATTATATGGCCCCGTTTGATGGTTCTCAGCTGAAGAAAACCCACGTCCCGTGGCCCATAGGTGCTATAACTCATGTTTAATACACCTTAGTGAAGCAGTTCTCAAGGCTGGCTAAACATTAGGACACTTGGGGAGCTTTCAAACAGCCAGATGCTCAGGTTGCACTGGAGCCCAATTAAACTGGCTCTCTGGGAGCGGGACCTGGGCCTTCGGAGTTACTATCCCCAGGTGATGAGAACCACTGCTTTAGCGTAATCCCTTTGCTTCTGAACTCACATGTTCAGGCCAGCTTCAGAAAATGCAAAAAGATTTAGAATTACTATCATTTATTTTGAAAACAAACAGAAAAAATTATCCACTAGTACTGAACTAGCCCACCCACACAAACAAGCACTGGATTTACCAAAACCCCTACTTCCCACTGTTGTTAGTTGCCACTGAGTCACCTCTGACTCAGGGTGACCTTACGTATAAGAGAACCAAACACTGTCCAGTCCTGTGCCATCTTCATGATCATTGGTATGTTTGAATCCATTATGTTTGAACCTTTAAGCTATTGTGTCAATCCATCTCATTGAGGGTTTCCCTTATTTTCACTGACCCTCTACTTTACTAACCATAATGTCCTTTTCTAGCAATTGGTCTTTCCTGATACATCCAAAATAAGCAAGTCTAAGGAACATTCTGGTTGTATTTCTTTTAAGATGGATTTGTTTGTTCTTTTTGCAGTCCACAATATATTCATTATTCTTCAGCAGTGGCACAGCTCAAACATCAATTATTCTTCTGTTTTCCTTTTCCTTTTTCATTATCCAACTTTCACATGCATATGAGGTGACTGAAAAGACCATGGCTTGGGTCAGGCACACCGTAATCATTAAAGTGATACGTTTGCTTTTTAAAACTTAAAAGAGGTCTTTTGTAGCAGATTTCCCCAATACAATATGTCATTTGATTTCCTGACTGCTGCTTCCATGAACATTGATTTTTGATCCAAGTAGAATGAAATGCTTGACAACTTCAATTTCTTCTCAATTTATCACAATGTTATTTATCAGTCCAGTTGTGAGGATTTGTGTTTTCTTCACATTCAGGTGTAATCCATACTGAAGGATCCATACTGCTTCCCATTAGATGGTATTTTTAAATACTGGTCATTGTATGCCTAGCTCTATGTTTTGGAAGGGTGCAGAAAGTAATGGGGGGAGGCCCTGGTGCGTGGTGACATTCTCTCTGCATTTACCATCCCAAGTTCCCCGTGGCTTCAAAGACAGCCTCTACTCAGCAAAATCACTTCTAAAGTCACCTACTTGATGCAGACCAGGCTAAGCAAAGCAAAAGTCTGGCTAGAATAAGGTTTGCATGCAACAGCTGAGCAGTGAGACTTGCTTGCAAATAACAATGTTGTTCTAGAGTGATATAATCAATTTCTGAGGTCCTTGGAATACCAAACCAAGAAATACGCACACAAAAATAAGTCTTAAAACTACAAAAGTGCAACTCCCAAAGGTCAGACATGGGGTCCCATGCTCTCCTGCCATGAACTGCAGGTTATGTGTCTTCATCAGAGAACTCCTGCAGATTGACTGCTGGTTACACAGCACCAGGAAATGTGCTTAAACACCTGACAGGTAATCCTCAGGCTGCTCACATAGAAGCACAAAATACAGGAGCCCTGGGTGGTCACCCTGAGTGGCACATTAGAATCACCTTTAAAAACACTGACATCCAAATCACACTTCGGATCCATTAGATCAGGATTCTTGGGGGATGGCCAGCACGTGGCATTTTTCAAGCAGTGGTCCTCATGCTTCAGTGACCACTGAAACCACCAGGAGGGCTTGTGAAGCCACAGATTCCTGGGCCCACCCCAGAGTTTCTGATTCATCGGGTCCCCAGGTGCTGCTGATGCTGCTGGCCCAGGATCACGCTGCAAGGATCAGTGCTTTATAAGTTCCCCGAAGCAAAAATCAAACCCACCGCTGTCAAGTCAATTCTGACTCCTAGCGAACCTGCAGGACACAGTAGAACTGCCCTATAGGGTTTTCAAGGCTGTAATCTTTTCGGAAGCGGACTGCCACATCTTTCTCCCATGGAGCAGCTGGTGGTTTCGAACCTCAGACCTTTCAGTTAGTAGCTGAGCGTTTAACCACTGCACTACCAGGGCTCATTTAAGCCCCCCAAATCAAAAAACCAAACTGTTGTTATCAAGTCAATTCTGACTCACAGCAACCCTATAGGACAGGGTATAACTGCCCCATAGGGCTTCCAAAGCTGTAATTTTTACGGAATGAGACTGCCACATCTTTCTCCCGTGGGGTGGCTGGTGGGTTCGAACCACCGACCTTTAGGTTAGCAGCCGAGCACTTAACCACTGTGCCACCAGGGCTCCTTATAAGTCCCCCAGGGGACTCTAATTAGTGCTGCCCAGCTGAAGACCACCGGATTAGAAGAGCAAGCTCTGGCAGAGCCATCGGGGGAGGGAATTCTCATTCCAGCTCCGCCACCAACACAGGGTTTGATAGATAAGCCACTGAGGTTTCCCTGTCCTTAGCTTGCTCCTGATATATAAAATCGAAGCACTGCATGAATGAGATCCTGGGTTCCTTCCAGAAACAAAATGATAACTTTTCCAAAGGGCTGCTACCCATGAAATCCACACGAATGCACAGACAGAAAGGAAAAGGCCGATGCCTAAATGTCTTGCTCACATGACTTGTGTGTATTCGGAGACACACCTGTGGGCGTGCACTGAACCACCAGTACCGTTTCTCAGACTCACCTGTTAGAACCTTGCAGCGCTGCCCAGGGACCTGCGTCTCTGTGGAGGGGCTGGGTGTTGAGGACCATTTGCGCCTGACCAGATGCTCTCGTCCACTGAAGGGGCCCCGGGAATGGTTGAGTGGCTGGATGAGCACCTGCTCCTGCCCAAGGTGAATGAGACCAACCTGCCAGAAAGGAGAGGTCAGCGAGACATCATCAGTCATTCTCACTCACACATACCCACAGCCCCAGCAGCCTAAGGGGGCACAGTCACCTCAAGGGTCTGGTTTTCAAGCTTAGCTTTCTTCCTTGCAGATTGCCATTTTGTCTGAGTTTCTGTGTGACCTGGAAACACCCCACTGAGCAGCTGCGGTGGGGAGGGAACACCAAGGGTGTGTATAGGGGTGGGAGGGTGTAGAGATTACATGCAGCCACATCCATTTTCCAAAGAAGATGTATTACTTTATAATGATAGGAAACTTCATTTAAAAAAAATATTTTTAAAATTATCCCCCAAAAGTCCACTTGGGAAGGCAACCCCAAAATTGTTGACAATGAACAATTACATCCTTAATGGGAAAATGTATCTTATTCCTGGGGATATTTAGAATTAAATATAGAGAAGATGAAATAAGACCTGTAGTATCAATAGTTTTGCGATGGGGAATTTGTACATTTTTTTTCAAACTTGTAATGCTGAACAGAATTTGGCGGGAAGGCTAATCGATTAGACTTGTTATTCTAATTCTAATTTGTTATTCTAATTTAAAATGTTTAATTGATTTAGATTTGTGATTGCACAATGAAATATTATTAAATTTATAAGCAGTATTAGAACATTGAGAACTTCAGACTTCCCATATTTATAAGACTAAGTTATTAGGTTTATGAGAATTACTTGAGTACTTCAGAAGTGTTTGTTCTTTAATCAGACAGCCAAAGGACTTAAAAATAAAATTAAATACGTTAAATTTCAAAATACGGTTTTCAGTGTTTAAAAGTTGTCAATGGCCAAATTTGTAAATGGGGCCAAATATTATTGAAAGCCCCATCTGCAAAAACTTGCTAGATTTATAAATAGAATAAGATGTGTAAATTGAATGAAAAACTTACTAGGATTTTTAACTTGTCACTTTACTAAAAAACAAAAACACCGAACCAGTTGCCATGGAGTCGATCCTGACTCCTGGCAACCCCATGTGTTGTAGAGTAGAACTTCTCCATAGGGTTTTCAAGGTTGTGACCTTTTGGAAGCCAATCACCAGGACTTTCTTCCGAGGTACCTCTGGGTGGGTTCCAACCAACAACCTTTCAGTCAGTAGTTGAGCACTTAACTGTTTGGACCATCCAGGGCTTTAATAAAGTGAATATTAATTCTACAAAGAAAAAAATAGATGATGCGGAGAACTTTCCCCTCTCCTGGAATCAACTCTGACAGCATTAAGGCAGTTTACCTTTCTGCCAGGGGGTACCTGAGCTAGCTTCCCTCCTTAAGCAGAGTCAGTGAAACAAGACAAACTTCCCAGAGGGAGTCAGCAGGGCTGAGAGAGGACCTTGCATTTGTACACTGTGTCTGCACTCAATGGCTTCCCTCCCAGACAGAGCTCCTGGACCGCCTTTGCCTGCACAGATTCAACAGATCCGGCAGATCAGTCTTAGGCTCTCTCTTCCACCATTATTTTCAAAAAGCCGTAAAATTTTAAGCCAGTGGTTCTCAAACCCTAGCGTGCATCAAAATCGCCAGAAGAGGGGTGAGACCCGAGCATTTGCATTTCTAACAAATGGCCTTGTGATATTGCTGGTCCAGGGACCCCACTTTGAGAACCACTGCTCTAAACCAAAGCATAGCTCTTCCTCCAGCCTCAGTGCAGATCGCACTCAAGCCAATGATACGAAACCAACCACCATCAGGTCAACTCGGACTCACAGCAATCCCGTGCGTGTCAGAGTAGAACTGTCCTCCATAGGGTTTTCATTGGCTGATTTTTCAGAAGTAGATTACCATGCCTTTCCTCTGAGGCACCTCTGGGGAGACGCAAACCTCCAACCTTTCGGTTAGCAGCCGAGAACATTAACCGTTTGCACCACCCAGGGACCCCGCCAAATAACACAGACGCCCTGTAAATTCTGCAAAAGCGGATTAACCCCAAGCCTCTCTGAGAGTAAATCAAATCAACTAAGGTCTCCCACAACCTTTAGTCCCCAAGATACAGGACGAGGCTGTACTTACTACTCTGAGCAGATTTCAAGGTTTCCATTTCATTAGAACTTTTGCCAAGAATAACTGAGAGATTTTACTGCCCAAATAAAACTGTCTTATTAAAGTGGCACTGCATAGCCTGCAGGAAAGCACAGCTTTCTTTCCTGTCCTTTGAAGTTAAAACCTGTATTTGTTCACAAAGATACTTTGGGGAGGCTGAAGAGGCGGAGGTGGGGGTCACTCGATGGGATACGTGGAGGCCACTGTAGCGTATGTAAGGAAAGCCTCAATTTAGAGCCCTCCACCACTACCTTCAGCGCAAACGTCAGTGGTTATGATGAAGCTGGTCAGAGACGGCATTGTGCAGGGTCGAGCTCCACACGGAAGGAGCCCAGTGCTCCCTGGAAGGCACTCAACTCTGGACCATCCGGAAACGCTCTGGCTGTGGAAATCAACAACTCCCCTGGGTCTAGTACTTTCAAAGCCAGTTAGAATCGTTCAGTCTAGTCTTGGTGTTCACAAGCTGCGATGTAAAAGGCCAGGTAGAGGTTAGCCCTAATGCAATATAACTTTTTAAATATCAGAACTCTCAACTTGGTGAGACAGCCTTTAAAAATTTTATATTTATGCATATATGTGCTTATGTATATATGTGTGTATATGTACATACACACATACACATACACACACGTATACATAAAACCAGCTGCCATCAAAGTTGACACACATGACCCCTTGTGTGTCAGAGTAGAACTATGCTCCATAGGGTTTTCAATGGCTGTTTTTTGGAAGTAGATTACCAGGCCTTTCTTCTGAGGCACCTCTGGGTAGACTAGACTCTCCAACCTTTTGGATGGCAGCAAGCACATTAATATACATAGATACATATAGATAGAGAGACATAAATATACACATATATATACATATACATACATACACTCCAGTAAGCATAATCTAGCTCCTTGGGGGAGGTTTTGCTTTAGAATATCTTTTCTGGAGGGACCCACATGCTAGTTTACACACATTCAAGGAAAAACAATGGCAATGGTGGTGAGAGATGGGTTAATGGATGAATGGGTTGTAGTCTACCCAGCAGCCACTTGCCCTCTGGTGGTCTGTTCTTCAAGCAGGGTATGGCCAGAACACACACCCAGGAAGGGGGCTGGGCCAAGCCCTCACCCAGGGGCCAGTACAAGGAAGGACTAGGCCCTGCTCCTCCCTTAAAGTCTCAGCCTCACCATCACTTTGTTCTCTGAGGCATCTCTACAGCCCCGTCTTTAACATCCTTCTGCTATCACGTTACCAGTAATTAAATGTTCTGTTGAAAAGTGTCACTGGTGACCCCCCACAACCTCGGCCCAATGCAAATACTTGTCAGCCCCATTTTACCTCTCCCTGGCCTCCCCTCTCCCTCACTTGCCCAGCCTCTTCTCTCTGCAGAATTAATCCCCCTTCCCTGCAGACCAACTCTGTGTCCAGCCCACTGTAGTATAGGGCATTTGCCATGGTCTAATAAATAGCTTGTTCCTCTGAGGCTGGATCTGACTTGTTCCTCTTTATCTTTCCAATGTCTGTCATATAACAGTTACTCAAGAGAATGTCTGGAATGGAGCAGAATGGATTGGAGTGGAATGAATGAATGAATGGAATAAATGCGATAGACTAGAAAAGGAGGAGAAGGGTGGGGTGGGGTGGAGTCAGGTGGAGTGGACTGGAGTGGAGTAGAGTGGAGTGGAATGGAGTGGAGTGGAGTGGAGTGGAATAGACTTCCTGCAGTTCCCCTTGCTCAGAGGTTCTCATCCCCGGCTGCACAACTCCTGATGCCTGGGCCTTACTCCAGGCCAACTGAATCAGACTCTCCAGATGGAATACAGCCACTGGTGTTTTTAAAAGCTTACCAGGAGATTTCAACGTACAGCCAGGTTGGGAACCACCGTTCAGGCTTTTAACTGGGTGCCAGAGACCCTTGTTTGCAATGTCTGGGGAATCCTGGATTTGGACTGCCTACATGAAGCTGGTGTCTGAGCCTTCCAGACTGTGGGTCTCTGCCCACTGCCCTGGCTCCTAGGCCATCGCAGTCCTATGGGCCGAAGAGCAGGCCAGGGCCTGCCTGGATCTGGGTTAATCCTCCAGTCACCATCTATGCCTACAGTGACACAGATGCCCATCCAAGGCCCCCCTGGCCCTGCTGATGGCAGTGAGGAAATACTAAGAGTGACTGAGGGTCCATCAAGGGCAAGGAGACCTGCAAACATAATCTAAAGAGACCAACCGTTGAGTTGATTCCACCTCATGGCAACCCCATGTGTTGCACAGTAGAACTGTGCTCCATAGGCTTTTCAATGGCTGATTTGTTGGAAGGAGATCACCAGCCCTTTCTTCGGAGGTGGTTCTAGGTAAACTCAAACCGCCAGTCTTTTATTTAGCAGCCAAGCACGTTAACTGCTTGCACCAACCAGGGACTCCATCTAAAGAGAGAGACTGTGAAAATGAACTGGCTGCTCCGAGGCCATTCAGTTCTAAGGGATCCAACAATCCCCAACAAAACAGCACTTTTAAAAGAGAAATCTGAAATCTTCAAAGATTTTGGTATCTCACTAAAGTATTTTGCATCAAATAAAATGTATCAGGTATAACCTTAAGAGCTCTTAGTGGTCACCTTTCAATTCTCTTTGCTCTAGGTACTTGCTTTGAAGAGTGTCTGTACTGCTGGAAGAAAGAGTTATAATCAGGTACTGATAACTCTTCCTGCCTTCTCCCCGAAGCAGGATCGGCTCTTCATTGCAGTGTGGAAAACGTGTGAAGGACGTCTAGGTTTTCATTACCATCTAACATCAGCACAGAGTCCTTGGGTGATGCAAATGGTTAACACACTTAGCTGTTAATCAAAAGGTTGGTGGTTTGAGTCCCCCCAGAGGCCCCTCAGGAGAAAGTCCTGGCTATCTACTTCAAAAAATCAGCCATTGAAAACTCTAGGGAGCACAG